TGCTCCTTATATTTTGGAGAGTTTAGTTGAAAACTGGGATGAGGAGCATTCTGCTGAGGTAAACAGCCTGCTTGGATATTTTCCAATGATCCCATGTTAAGTCATGTTCTGTTGTTTTGAACCATTTCTGATTATAGTTAATACTACTTATATTTTGGAGTTGGTTGCCTTTGTGTGAAAAGAAAAGGTTGTTGAGCCATTTTATTCAACTGCCGGTTGTATCTATTATGGTATTCTTATACCCTTGTTGGTTCTCAGATGTTCTTATTCATGTCTTTCTAGTGGATATGTGGGGCAGTAAATGTGTTAATATGGTTTACATGCTAGTATAGTATAGTTGCTTGGCAAATGTATATCATCTTAGGTACTTTGATTGTTTCTAATTATCTCTGTGTTTACTTAACACACATGTTCAACCCCCAGCTGTTTCCTCTCATCTCATTCCACAACAGAAGGGCACTGCTATTTTGTTATTGTAGATTAAGTATTTGTGAAGTTGCCATTGGCAGTAGAATTAAGGCCTCTTTTTTATACTGAAATTTTGGAAATTGGATTCAAAGAACTGCATCATGAATTACATCATTTACTTGGATGATGGATGGTGCCATTGGACAGGTTCGGTTACATCTTCTCACTGCAGTAATGAAGTGCTTTTTTAAAAGGCCACCTGAGACTCAAAATGCTTTGGGAGCTGCTTTGGCTGCAGGTATTGCTGATTTTCACCAGGTATGGGTTTGTCTTTTTATGTCTTTCTTTTTCCCTCTTACATTAATAGTATCGTTTGAATTGTCTAGTTGTTTTCTGGAAACAATAAATTAAATCTTCAACTTGAATGCAGGATGTTCATGACAGAGCCTTATTCTACTATAGGATTTTACAGTATAATGTATCTGTAGCAGAACATGTGGTAAACCCTCCAAAGCAAGCTGTTTCTGTTTTCGCTGATACTCAGAGCAGTGAAATTAAAGATCGGATATTTGATGAATTTAACAGTTTATCTGTTGTATACCAGAAGGTAACTACTAGGTTCTTCCAACTTTATGTTATAGGCCATTTTTGTGTCCTTTGGACCATTTAGAAAGCTCTTGTGATGGGTTCTTAAAGCATTCGATTTGCATATTCAAATGAAAAAATTAAGGCAAAGACAAGGCATATGCAATAACCTAATTACATAGTTTGTAGTTTCAACCTTAATCAAAGTTGATGATGTGGATCTGGTTGTTGAAATCCGTATCATGCTGGTGAAAACTGATTGGGTTTTCGCAAAAAGTACTTTTTTTTTTGCCTGAAATAATAATAGTTCTTCAATAAGGCCATTTTTCATTCTAAGCCTCATGGCAAAGGGAGTCTGCCTTGCTTCAAGGTGTGCCATGAAGCTTGCCATGAAAGTGTTATTCTAGCATAACAACCTAAAAAACTAGAATATAATATCACATGCAATCTCAACCAAATATATGTGGGACATTGCATAGTTAACACTCCCTTTGATGTGTAAGAAAATTTGTTCTTGGGAACCACTAGACCAAAATGTATAAGCCATTAGCTGAGGGTCCAAAAATAAGTCTTATTTACTTTTCTCCTCATCTACAAGTAACTTAGGCATAGAATTAAGGGGGAAAGAATTTTTCTTTCCCTTGGCGAAAGGTGCATTTTTTAGCAAGGTGAAGTTTTACTTGTCAAAGTACTTACATCTCTTAAGTTATCCATACCTTTGTCAATTCCATTTCCTGCATAATTGTCAAACTAATAACCCATGGAAGAACCAATGATGATACTTGTGGAATGGACTTGCAACTTTAGTTTGCGTAACAGCTGTGACGTAACTTGCTACAACTTTGCCTTGTGTACTCTTGAGAGCTAAAAAATTGGCTACTGATGAAATAATTTGCTCTAATCACTGTATTGTGGCTCTCAAAGCATTTTCTTAATTTTACGCAGTTTCCTTTCTGCTATTAACCAGTGTAGTGTGCTATATCCACTCTGCATCTGTTTTGTGTTTCTTTTCCTTTTTTTTTCAAAGGAATCTAGGTGGTTCTGTTGTTGTACTTGAATCACAATAGAGTCAGGCTTAACTGATAGTTGTAAATATCTGCAGCCATCTTACATGTTTACAGATAAGGAACACAGGGGTCCTTTTGAGTTTTCAGATGAACTTGGAAATCTATCTATTGGTGGAGAAGCAGCAGATAATGTTGTTTCGGCTCAGAGTGTGGAGGCAAATGATAAGGATCTACTTTTAACTACTTCCGAGAAAGAAGAAACTAGAGGTTCAAGTACTAACGGTTCTGCTTATACTGCTCCTTATGATAGTTCGTCTACATCTGTCTTTGCCTCACAAACACGGATAGAGTCGGAAATTTCAAATCCCACCTCAGCAGGCCATGCTCCACAAGCTAGCTTGGGAATTGATGATCTACTTGGTCTTGGTTTACCAGCAGCACCTGCTCCTTCATCTCCTCAGTTGAAGCTTAGTTCAAAAGCTGTTCTAGATCCAAGCGCATTTCAGCAAAAGTGGCGCCAGTTACCAGTTGCTTTGTCACAGGTTTGCTTGTCAAATATAACAATATATAGTTTGACTTGTTTTCACTTGTTAGTATCTCCTGTTGGTCATGCCTATCTCTTGCTTGCTTTCTCTTAGACATTAAAACCTTTTCTTGGCTGACTTTTAGCAAGGATAATGCAGTTGGATATTATCTTTATATTATTGCCTGAATTTTATTTCTGGCTGATGGCCACTTATGGTACAACCTTATGTCTAGAGAGTAAACTATTTATGAAAGCATTACGTCCTTAGCATGAAAACTATCCTCAGAGTTCAGGACAAAAACCGTCCCTTTCCTTGAAAACTAAACCACTAGATGGCCCCTGGAATGGAAACCATGCCTGGTCCTTTATATATATGCCACCTTTCTCAAAACTCGTCATTAAATCGGTGCAGGAATGCTCAGTGAGCCCTCAAGGTGTTGCGGCATTTACAGGTCCTCAAGCTCTCCCTCGGCACATGCAAAGCCACTCGATTCACTGCATTGCATCAGGTGGTCAATCCCCTAATTTCAAGTTCTTCTTCTTTGCACAAAAGGCGGAGGAGACATCGAATTATCTTGTGGAATGTATAATCAACACATCATCGGCTAAAGCCCAAATAAAGATCAAAGCCGATGATCAAAGTACATCCTCGGCATTCTCAACTCTCTTCCAATCAGCCTTGTCCAGATTTGGTATTCCATGAGGGCTTAAAACGCATTCTTCATTTAATGGCTCGATGAGAAGATGTTGGTTGTTAATGTTGTTGTTTTCTTTTCTTTGTGGAAGAAATTAAAGAGAAAATTGTTTTACCGAGAAAGAATTGATAAAACACGTTTTTTGTAGGTGTAGATGTGTGCATGTGATTTAACAACTTTTGTCCTTCTTGATTTCGATCCTAGTTCATCGTGTTAAGACCAATAAGGGTTTAAGAATATTGTAATTGATTCAACTGAAACATTACTTAACATGGCATATCATTGGACAGCCTACATTTTGTTGTTAGTAAAATTTAAACTCTGTTTAAGAAACAGAATTAAACAAACAAGTTAATATAACAGTTACAAACTCATAAGACATGCAAAATTACATGAAGAATATTCATATGTATGGAACCTTCTGCACATAAACAATTTATAAATATAAAATTCATCACATTTATAAGATTTTTAACCCTGCCTATTCTTCATTCCAACTCACATTTACCCCTTCAATCAACCTTTCTGCCACACACGAAATTCACCTTCAAATCAACGAATTAAACTGGGTTTTTCAGTGTTCCTAAATTCTCTGCTGCACCATCTATAATTGATCATATTTAATTGAATTAACTGTCTTTTACAGAAATATACTAATTTATTCAATTAAGACATATACGTTTCTAGTGCCTTAATAAGCCCAAATAGGCCATATACTTGAAGATATATTGAAAGACAAAATCCAGTTATTAATTGAATTGTATGGATAAGTATAACTTTAAGTTAAAATTTGATCTTTCAAAAAAAAAAGTTGAAATTTGATTATTGGATATTGATGAGATAAAAAGAATAATTATTAAAAAAAAGAAAAAATATGCAATATGGATGTGATTAAACTTGTTTAAATGTATAAATAGTATTACTAATATAAAAAAGAGTTAAGAAATATATTTAAAAATAAGTTTTTGTTGGAAGAGTTAAGAAAATAAAAATTATGTAAAAAAAGAAATATAATAAATGTTGATAATTTTAGATCTTAGTTTTTCAAAACAAGATAATTTTTTAAATTCTCTGGACAAATGAATTTCCTATGAAAGAAAAAATGAAAGAGAGAAATAAAAGTTTTTTTTTCTTCTAGTAATAACCAAATTATATGATAATTTTTGTTACATATTTTATATTTTAGAAAAATTTATTTATGAGGAGAAAAAAATTAAAAATTTCATTGACGATTTTACAAGGTTATTGGAGAGCTTTCTTGCAAACTGAAGATAATGAATAAGTATTCTTTTTTTTTTAATTTTTAGAGAAAAATAAAATAATATATAATTTAAAATTAAAAAACATGTTCAAATTATAATAAAATTGTAATAAGATATGAATCACTTTTAAGTAATAAAAACTTTACATAATTATTTGGTTCGTAAAATTGATAAAAAAATAGAACAAAATAACTAGTAAGTGAGTGTCCACGTGCCGCTTTCGAATGGGTAGGTGGCGCCACTGGTTAGAGACGATGTCTCATCTCTTGGTCCGTGAATTAGTGTTATTTTAAAATTCCATAGATTAGCTTAGACTTATCATAACTATTTTAAAATTGTAAGATTAGCTTAGGCTAGATAGTGTTGAAATTTTCTAAGAAACCAGCAAGTAGTACTAACTACCTACTGTCTTGTCAGTCTGTCTGAGTGGTTGGTTTCTGGTTTTTGTCAGTTAAAATATTACTTGGCTTTTTGTATGTGGATACCATCGTTATTATAATAGACGAAAGCGATTCATGAATTGTGGTTAAAGAAAGAAGAATTCCAGCTATGGAATCCACCCAGATAGTTAATCAAGTGATTTGCATGTGGACTACCCTAAAGAACTTGTAAAGAATTCTTCCGGGGATAAGATTCAACGATGTTGTTAACACCCTCATCGTCCCCATCTCCGGAAGGTTCGTCGTTCACCACTTCACCGCCTCCTCAACAGTCACCTCCGGTGGTGCAGCCACCTCTAGGAGCGCCACTCCTTTCCCCACCATTTCCGCCAACAAATTCTGCATCTCCCGTTGTTTCTTCACCCTTGCTGACTCCGCCTTTGGCCCCTACATCAACCCCGAAAACGCCACCTCCATTTCTCCCTGTGGCATCTCCTCCACCTGCAGTCATTGCTATAAGTCCGGTTGCTCCTCCACAACCTCCAACACCGCCAGTCGTTACACCTCCACCACCATCAGCTGCAGCTAGTACCATTAGTCCAGTAGCTTCTCCACCGCATCCCCCACCACCAGCATTGGTCATTTCTTCCCCACCGCCCTCCCAAACTCCAGTTCAAACTCCTCAACCCTCTATATCCTTGCCATTAACTTCTCCACTTCCCTCTCCCACCCCTCCAACTCGACCATCTATTATTCTTCCACCTCCAACAACAACAGCTCCCTCTCTGCCTCCACCAAGGCCACCTACTGATCCACCACCATTTTTTTTGGAGTCTCCACCGCCACCTGCAGCTTCTCATTCTATTGGGGTTCCTGACGCTCCAGGATCGTCTCAGGCATTTCCGCTCCCTACACCACCACCACCATTACCGTTAGCAGTTGGAAAAGGAGGATTGCCAGCCACTCAGCAGGGGTCAGATTCTCCAATTGGGCTTATAGTTTCATGCATTGGCGTTGGAATTCTACTGTTTGTTGTGTTTGCACTCGTCTGCATTTGTTGCAAAAGTAGGAGGAGAAAACAGAAGCCTTTGGAGGACAGAAGAAAACAACAATGTTTGGTGACAAAAGGTGAGATTAATTGGTAAATAATTGTTACAATCAAAACTACTTTCTCTAACTTTCTGATGGAATTTCAATGTTTGGTTGAGTTGTTAGATGACCTTTATGCTGCTCCACTCCAACATGAACAAGAAAAAGTTGCCCCACCGCCAGGAGTCCATGTTATCACAGTGCCACCAACTACCCGGCCTCCACCGCCTCTCACCAATGCTGAAGGATCTGGCACTAACAATTCGGGGTCCTCAAATGGCATTTTCACTTATGATGAATTGGTCGTGGCCACCAATGGCTTTTCTGAATCCAACCTCCTTGGACAAGGCGGTTTCGGTTACGTCCACAAAGGAGTACTGCCGAGTGGGCAAGAAGTTGCAGTTAAGCAATTAAAGGCTGGAAGCCATCAGGGCGAGCGTGAATTTCAGGCTGAGGTCGAGACGATTAGCCGAGTGCATCACAAACATCTTGTTTCCCTGGTTGGCTACTGCATTACTGGGGCTGACAGGTTGCTTGTTTATGAGTTTGTTCCAAACAAAACCTTGGAATTCCACTTGCATGGTTAGTCATTTCCTTCTCTTCATTTGAAGAGTGATTTCTCAATAAGCTGTAGGTTTCCCTGTGGATAGCTAGAATTCTGTCTTTGGTGCCATGATGCCTATTTCTATGCACAACCATGTTACCAATTCAGCTTAAGATGTGGCAGTAATCATCGAATGCAATTGGTTGTAGGAAATGGTCAGCCGGTTATAGCTTGGGAAAGCCGACTCAAAATTGCTATAGGGTCTGCAAAAGGAATAGCATACCTCCATGAGGACTGTGAGTCCGTTTCTTAACATTCTGTCTCTGAAAGTTTTACTTGTGGCTCTTTTCCTGCATCAAGAATCTACAAATGAATGAATCAGATGAATAAAGGACGAGTTATCATTAATCCTTCAATGCAGGCATTCTTTTCACATATATATTTCTCAAAATCACTACTTAGGACATCTTTTCAGAGTCTAAGTCTGATTGAAGTAGATTTTATCTACAGGCAGTCCAACAATCATTCATCGCGATATCAAGGCAGCTAATATTCTTCTCGATCCTCGATTTGAGGCAAAGGTAGGTCTCCAAATCTCTGTATTAGTTTTCTAGTTTTACAGTGCAGGCTTGTCCTAACTACTTGTATGAACTATAAAGTAATTTCAGGATACCTCTGTTATTACATATGTTTCTGATTGCTCAAATGTAGGAGGTGTTCAGTAAGTTGTGTTGCTTTTCCTATAAGATCCAGTGCTTAACAACTAAGCACTGAAGTGAGATCCCTATCTTTTTTGGATTTTTGGCTGTTGACTTGTGTACTTTGTTAATGGACTCTTTATGTCTTGCATTCAGGTTTCAGACTTCGGCCTTGCCAAGATTTTCTCCGATGCGAGTTCCTCCATTACTCATGTCTCCACAAGAGTGGTGGGAACTTTTGGGTTAGATCCTTTCTTTTCTCACCCCTCCCCCTTTCCAATTTAGGACGCATATTTGTTAATTTTCATTAGTATTTGAGGATACATTTGCTCTAACAGCAAACGGCTTGCAGATACCTTGCTCCAGAGTATGCATTGACTGGCAAATTAACAGATAAATCAGATGTATACTCCTATGGAGTCATGCTTTTAGAGCTTATCACTGGGCGTCGACCAATCATCAAGAAAGAATTCTCCATAAACGAGAGCCTCGTTGACTGGGTAAGTACTCTTCCATTTTTTTCATATCAACTGATATTATCTGCCAGATGATGGAAAACCAAGTTAGTCTACTAAAATGGGCTCTGGATTATCTCATCTGCAAAGTGCTTGTCGTGGTTCCTCCACCGTTAGACCAAGTTTCTGCCTTTGAAGTTTGGACCCAAATTGTCCCTTCTTAATTCCAGCTTTGCATTGTCAAGACTAGATAGTAGTTACAGTGCTTTATGCTATGACTATGAGCAGTTGATTAACCGAGTTCTGTTGCTATATTTTTGGACATAGACGAGGCCCTTGCTAGGTCGTGCACTCGAAGACGATGATTTTGATGCTCTTGCTGATCCAAGGTTACAGGGCGCTTACAACAGGAGCGAGATGGCATGCATGGTCACTTGTGCGGCTGCTTGCATACGCCAGTCAGCATGGCTTAGACCTCGAATGAGCCAGGTATCTCCAGTCCCTTTCTTTTTTTCTGGTGGGGTGGGGGAATATAAACTTACATGCAATTAACGAGATTCCGAGTTCACAGGGCTTTCATTGGTAGAAAATGGTGATTATTTATTTACTTAAAGTTAAAAATAAAATTTGCACCAGCAGTTAAGAACAGAGTAAACGCCCAGATTGTCTCAACTCAGATGCAAAACCAATGCAGGTAGTTCGTGCTTTAGAAGGAGATCTTTCGCTCTCTTATCTTGATGTAGGAGGAAGGTCCTGGAACAGCTCAATGTACACGTCTTCAGAAACTCCGATTCAAAAAGCCCGACAATACGAGAACATGAAGAAAAGTAATTCATCAATTGGCACTAAGAACTATGGCATCAGCGGAAACAGTGAAACCACCAGTGAATATGGCCTTAACCCATCTGGCTCAAGCAGCGAATCCCAAAGAACAAACTGAGGAACAGATGACAAAATAGAAAGCAGAGAGAATTAGTGATAATCTATGAGCAAGCTTAACATCCAACTTGATGTAGTGCTGATAGTTTAACTGGTTGTTTCCCAATTCATCCACCCGTTTTGGTCACTTTCTTCTTTTAAGTGTGGAATTTGTTCTTAAATTCAGTACAGGAATTTTATTTATTTATCCAGGAAAGTTGAAGTTGTGCAGTATGTTAAGCCTCCCAACCAAATTGCTATTGCATATTTTCTACATGATCATAATCTTACTTCATGCAGCAACAACGGATAGATAAAATACTGAATAGTTTTGTCACATGCATTGTAGGCTAAAATGTAATTTGTTCGATGACAATAAATACAGGAATGGAATTCACGATAGTGTGAGACTGAGATCAAGTGCAATGGGGACGTCATGATGCTAATTCAAGACCATAAAGTAGAAAGTAAGCGTGATTAAAGGGAACCAGGCAAGAGAATCAACAGCCAAATGTATATCTCTCTAGCAAGGAGAATTATCAAAATCTTTTATCAGGTGGATTGAGGATAACAATGATCACCGACTTCCTTATATCCAGAAGGGGGAAAAACAAAAACTGAAAGATAGTGAAAGTTCAACTATCGAAACCATAAACTTTTGCATTCTCCATAGTATTATCTTTTACCTACTATGTATTTGCATTATGATATCGGGTCCTTGGATGCATGAGCATTCAATTTTGATAATTCATCCACCCTGACCCCTTTTCTCCTTCGAAGGTAGCAAAGAATTCAGCCATTGCTTCCAAGGAGCATCCTCTTGTTGCTCAATCCATGACAAGAAACAGCTATCCAACAGGCAGAAGACGTTTACATATAGTAGTTGGTACCTCACTGGTATATACCGAAAATTTGCAACTTGTACAATTGGCCATACACCCCCTTCAAGAATTAAGGCTGGGACAAAATCTCTCTTTACATTTTCCTTGACTTGAGGGAAACTCTTTCCAGCAGAAAATCCCATGTAAGTAAAAAACACAAGTAAATCCAATGGCCCAAAGATGAACCCATCAATTGCAACTTTAGTAGCCACAAAACGAAAAGAATTTGGTTGTAGACAAAGTCGCAACCTTATATATCGGTCCAAACCTTCATACCTACAGCCACTACCAAAAAATTAGTGTTCCCAACAAATTTTCACATACATAAAAATGCACAAGGGAGTTAGGAATTGAATGTTATTTTATCTTAACCATGGAAGAATTCCTTGACCTCCAAGTTGGGCAGCCAATCCAAAAACAAGAAAAAAAGAGGCCACATTGAACCATCTCTTGTTCCCAGAATAAGGCCGCACATCTCATGTTTTGATGCATGGAAGGAATTATACATTGCTAGCTCTAAGATATATGTGAAAGCAGTGAACAGTAGTTATGATGTGAACTTAACATTCTTTAGCCAAATACATCCACAAATGGCAGTGCTTAATTACCAGTAATGGCCAACTGGTCCAACAAATCCAAACCCAAACAAGCTTGTTGTAGCCACTCTTTTCCAATTGATCTTTAATTCTTTATCCTCTTCCTGGTACAAAAAAGGAAATTTTCATTCTAACAAAAGAAATAGGCTGGGTAACAGTAAAATACTCACAAAACTAAAGATGCTTAGAATATACATAAGTCAGAATGCATGTTTATATTACTGACACATTTAGAACAGCTAAATTATTTTAAGGAGGTGAACTTTGCGCAACAGGAACAACGGGCATTGGATCAAAGGAAACTCTGCAACCATGCTCTTCCTTGCATTGCAGTTACCTGAATGTCATGACCTTCGTCAAGTGGTGACTGATGCAAAACTGCACCCATCAAATTGAAGCTCCCATGTCAAAGATTCTTTCATGCATGTAATCAACAGACCAAAAAACTGAAAATTCCTCCCTTTCAAGGAATCATAATGCCAACCACGTTAAATGAAATATATCAACTCACAATTCATTCTTATTTGTACATTTGTTTTCTCTCTCAACTCCAGTAAATTGGGGTTCTAGGTTTCTCTTTAAAAGAAGGGTTGCAGTGTGTTCATCCTAAATTTTTACAAAACCGCAGACGAAATGCAAAAGTAACAAGTATCAACTGATAAACCTGAATTACAGAGCAACACGATAAAACTATACTCCAAGAAACACTGATTATCCCCTTACTTCCAAAAAGAACCTACCAACCAATCTCATCAGGGGAGGAAAAACATGTGCAGCAACAAGGGCAAGAGAAATTGGAAATTGAAAGACTGCCCATTTTTCCAAACAGCACGAAAAAGAAGAGACATTGGGAAAAAATATGATCAGATATTAAAGTAGGAAAGGTGATGCTTTGCCTGTAAATGACGGTGTTTCTTGGCAGTTGAATGAGTAATGGTTTGAGCAGCTATGTCTCCAAATCCCCAAATCAAGCCTGAGCTTATAACCTGTGTCTTCACCGGGTGGATTGCCAAGCAATTCTGGTACCATCTCCACAACCTCAACATTTCGTTCTTTTACTACAGAATAGACAAGGCGATGAAGAAAAGAAGTTTCTAGATGAAGAAATGGAATTTAAACAAAAAGGGAAGAACACTCAGATGCATTATCATCATCCTCATCATAGTCGGGTAAAAGTAAAAACCTCTGATCTGATAGTTTTAATTACAGCACTTTCTATTTTCTGGGTAATAATGAAATCAAAGAAAGAATTTTCTTTTCTTCGAATTTCTGTTTCCAGGACAAACCCATTTTTCCGGGAAGCCTGTTTCAGACACACGATACAAGGAAAGAAACAAAAACATTTTCTTTTTTTTTTGCCTTTTTGCAAGATGAGGCGGTCCGAGGAACTGTAGACTGGGCCTGACTTCGTCAAATCTTTTCTTTCTTCCTTTTCTCTTCTATATTTTGTTTTTGGGTTTTAACCTACATGATCCAATCCAGCCCGGCCCTGTCAACCTGGACCTTTCTCTAAGGAAAAAACACAAAGAAATGCAATAAATTCTAAAAATACTAATGGATAAAAAAATTTTATGAGGAAAAATGGAGGAAGAATGGGAAAGAGAAGCAACATATCTCAAAATTTTCAGCCGCACTTTCTGTTTTTCTTATCTCCATATGTTTGTCAGCAATGGGTTTTTTTTTTTTTTAATATGTGGATAACATTTATTTTATTGCATTTCACGACACTCACTCCATGCACACCATAACTCCACCAATCAGGAACTTCTCTTTCTTTACTCTCTTACATTTTCTTGCAAGAACCCAAGATACAATTAGCCCCGTCAGGTACGTTTCACTCACGTGCTCTCTCACTCTGCCATTTTTCCATGGCTCGTTACTCATCAGGGTGACTTTTTTCTTGCGTAAATTAAGCTCCTTTCCATTATTATCAGAACTCCCTTAATCCCAAATTTTTGGGTTATTTCTTTTTTGTGCTGTTTTGTTTTTGTTTTTTTTAAAAAGCTTTCCTTTTCGTGGTCTAGTGAAGCTGCAAATCTTATGTATTATGGATGATTAGATGATTAGACGGATGCTTGATCTGTGCATTGAATTTTAGTGCTTTAACTATATATTTGTCACTTTTGTGGAAAATCCTTCTTTTTGTTTTCTTGATCATTTAGGAAACAATGTGAAACACCCAGATGGGAATTTGGGAGTAGTTTGTGAAAATTTGGTTGGTGATTCTCTTTAGTTGAAATCTTTGGTGGATTCCAAGGACAGGTCGTTTTTGGTTTTGTTTCAGTTTTTGTTTTTCAGAAATGAAAAACACTTAGGAAAGAAATCCGAATGATTGATTCCAGTTCTAGAATCCAGATATGGTATTTATTGTCTTCTTTATAATTACTTTTGGCAAATTACTTTTCAGGAAAGTAATTTTCGTGTTTCTCATGTTCTAATGACTGGATATTCTTGTTCAAGGAAAAAAAAATGCTTACAGTCAAGCATTTAATCGTGGAAAAAGTATGTTTCCATTTTCATAATCTGCTTTTACTAGTAGATGATGCTTCTATTGATTGTCTATCTGCTTTCCAGTGGGCCCACGTGGATGGAATTAACTTATTCTTCCTGATGTTAATGTGTTCTTCACAAAACTTTTCTATTGGAATTATGGTCTCTGCTTGAATTCTTGCACGTTGGCTCTTCTGCATTGAGGTTGATTGATTTACTGCTTTTATCTGTTAACTTACCGGTGTTAAGATTTTAATGTGGTATGTTTTAAGTGCAGGAACTTCCATGGATGATATGTAGAGGTGGATAAAAAATAGTAATTCAACATTGCTCCCCTTATGGATCTCCAAAATCAATCTCATTGCTACATCTGCATGACAAAAGAATGTTGCCAAACCGTGCGCTCCCAGACAAAGCTAATGAATATTCTAATAGAAAGAGGAAAACCCCAGGAAGCTCAGTCTATTTTTGACAGTTTGATTGAAGGAGGTCATAAACCATCTTTGGTAACTTACACTACTCTCTTGGCTGCCTTGACCATCCAGAAGCACTTCAGTGCCATACATTCTATCATCTCTCAAGTGGAAAAAAATGGAATGAAACCTGACTCAATTTTTTTCAATGCTGTTATAAATGCTTTCTCTGAATCTGGAAACATGGAAGAAGCCATGGAAACTTTCCGGAAGATGAGGGAGAATGAATTGAAACCAACTACTAGCACTTATAACACATTAATCAAAGGGTATGGGATTGCTGGTAAGCCTGAAGAATCTCTTAAACTGGTAGACCTGATGTCCCAACAGGGGAATGTCAAACCCAATCTCAGGACCTATAATGTACTTGTTAGAGCATGGTGCAAAAAGAAGAACATGACAGAAGCTTGGAATGTGGTTAATAAGATGATAGCCTCTGGCATGCAACCTGATGCTGTTACTTACAATACCATAGCAACTGCTTATTCACAGAATAATGAGACTGATAGAGCTGAAGGGATGATTTTAGAGATGCAGAAAAATGGTGTGCAGCCTAATGAGCGAACTTGTGGCATCATTATTAGTGGATATCGTAAAGAAGCTAGGATAAAGGACGCCTTGAGATTTGTGTATAGGATGAAGGAGCTCAGATTGCATCCTAATCTTGTGATTTTTAACTCACTGATCAAAGGTTTTGTTGACATCATGGACAGAGATGGGGTTGATGAGGTGAGTTAGACCAATGATTATACTTATTTCCAATTCCTTTCATCTAAGCAAACATTTAGAGAAATACAAGATTTTTATAATTCCTACATCTTTTGAGCTGTGGTTCTGCTTGTTTTGGTTTCTAAGTCTTCATTTTTTTTCTTTTTCTTCTTTAAAATTACGTGCTTGTCTACTGAATATTTCCATCTGGAAAAGAACATAAACTCATGCTAAGCTTCGATCTGCAGGTACTTACTCTGATGGAAGAATTTAGGGTCAAGCCTGATGTTATAACCTTTAGCACTATTATGAATGCATGGAGTTCAGCAGGTTTCATGGGTAAGTGCAGGGAAATCTTTGATGACATGGTGAAAGCAGGTATACAGCCTGACATTCATGCCTATAGCATTCTTGCTAAAGGTTATGTGCGAGCACAAGAACCAGAGAAAGCTGAAGAACTCCTAACAATCATGATTAAAACAGGATCCCGTCCAAATGTTGTAATCTTTACAACTGTTATTAGTGGGTGGTGCAGTACTGGAAGAATGGATTCTGCAATCAAGATTTTTGATCAAATGTGTGAATCTGGAATTTCTCCCAATTTGAAGACCTTTGAGACATTAGTTTGGGGATATAGTGAAGCCAAGCAGCCTTGGAAAGCCGAAGAACTTCTCCAAATAATGAAAGAATTTGATGTTCAGCCTGAGAAATCCACTATCTTCCTCATTGCTGAAGCTTGGCGTGCCATTGGGTTGACAAAAGAGGCAAATAGAATACTGGGGACCTTTAAATGTAAGGAGCAGAAAATGGAGACAACAAACGACATACCAATGGAAAGCTTAGAGAAACTATATCACAAGCAAACTATGGCTGCCTCACATTCCAATGTTTTACAGATACCAAGTGTAGTTGCAGGTGATCAAAAGGGGTCGGCTGTGTCTGTTAGAAAAGGTCGCATGGTACTGAGAGATGCTGATTTTCCATTGGATTGCTCATGGCTTGCTACAAAATCAATGTACGTTCCACTAGGTTGTAAATTTGGAGCAAGGTATCCAATTGTCTGCCGGAAGCAATGTCAGGGGCAGCTTGGAATGTATGGTCAGCTTACACATTCATGTACAGTGGTTTTCCTTAACTGAGGAAATCAAGTTTGTGCTTTTGGTGTAATTAGGGTCTCTTCATATCCAAAGAAACAGAAATAGTTATCAAAATACTTAACTATAGATAGCACAGAGCTCTTCCACAATGATGAACTACTTTATTCTTTTTGGCTTGCTGAGAAATGCAAGTTACTATTGTTCCTTGTATCTGTTCACAATCGCTTTATTATATATTCTTGTAAACAAATATGCTATATAGAAAAACATAGGAAAATTACAAAATTCTCTCACACAGCTTGTGCAAAATCTCCCTGGAAATGCTAATTGCTTTATTATTCTCAGAATATAGCAATTACATATGGAAGCTATTCAAAATTCATCGAATCATTAAATTTTACAACAACCTGTTTATAATTGAATTATTTACATATGCATAAAGCAATTGTGCCACAATTCCGTTCCTCAACAATTTAATCCACCCTCTGAGCTCATCATTGCATTAGACCTCCATCATGATTTGATCTGCAACTCAATTCTTAAGAACTTCTGCCTCTCTTTCTATGCAAATTTGATATTTCTTTATCAGGAGGTTGAGAAGGAATTTTGCTGAGAAGCCATACTAGAAGAACACCAATAAGAGCACCAGAGAGATGTGCAATGTGATTGACACTTTGCAAGGAATAGGAAGAGCCAGACGGGCCAGTTGAAGCTTGGGCTGCTTCCATCACCTGTCAAAGCCAAGAACATGACATTGAGGAGGTTAACCCTTAGGTTCAACACAATCTTTCAGGATCATGGAAAATTGATGATAACCCTTTAAAATTTCTCACCTTCTCTATAACAAATTGGCCCAATATAAGCACTTCAAGGATCTTTCTCCAGTCCCAAGACATCTAGAACAAGAACGAGGGGGTTAAAGAAGTTTGTCCCCAGTGTCTGACATTTTATTATTACTTATAAAATAAAACTAAAAAATGGAAAAAGAGAGAAAGGGGGATTTAGTTAAATACTTCATATATGTCTGGAGAATTCAGCATACCTTTACAAAGACACTGATTGCAAATAACCCAAAAACGGCACCAGAAGCACCAACAGAAACGGCATTTCTTGGTAAAACCAGCCATGAAACAATGTTTGCTCCAGCACCTGTAAAAATGTAAGAAATCCACAATGCAAAATTCCCTTCCTCTTCTTCAACAAGTTTCCCTGTTTTACAAATAAGGATAACATCAAACTCCTAAAATCAACTGATTCAAATGTCTACAAGTTACAAACATTCTCAAATCAAAGAGAAGGGCAAAATGCTTACCAAAAATGTACAAGAAGAAAAGATTGCTAGAAAGATGCTTCCTGAAAAAGACCATAAGCAAAACAATGAACATCTAAGGAAAAAATAAGACAAACTCGCAGAATGACTGCAGTTCTTTATCAAGAAATACAAGCTTTTTCTACTTGGTTTTATATCATATTAATATTTGATGCTATGCAATCCAGTAGCATTAGAGAGCTTACCAGTTAGCATGACAGAACGTCGATGTCACAAATTGGTACCAAGCAGGCCATTTGTGGTACAAGTATAGTGACTGAATGCCCTGAACCTATTGAAAGAAA